CATACATCAGAAACATGCATCAAGATTAATTTATAATAAAGATAAGTTCACTCATGCCGACCCTTTACTTAAAAATTTGAATGCTTTAAATATCTTTCAAATAAATATTTACCAAAATATCTTACTCATGCTAAAATACAAACTCGGACTTGTTCCGAAATACTTTACTGATAGCTTTTTTCATATCAACGTAAACAAGTATATCACTCGAGGAACAGGCAACTTCACCTTGCCTTTAAAAAAAACAAAATTCTCGCGGTTTTCTTTAATATACCGTGGCCCATACTTACATAACAAAATAATAATTCAAAAAATGGAACTTAATAAAATGGATAACCTTATTGCCCTGAAAAAAAAACTAAAACATATCATAATTAACTTAACCAACTTCATCAAACTGTGTTAAACAGTGTGGGAAAAATAGTAATAATAAAAAGACCTAATACTTCTACTATATAGTAGATACCAAAATACTTATGTGTATTTGTTGAACTAGTTCATTAAAGTTTATTTTATGTTTTAAAGGTTCTCGATGAAAAGACTATTTTAGTCATCTGCGAGTTTCCTTACAACAAAGAAAAATATTTCTTAAGAATAATTATATATATATATATATATATATATATTCAACAACGTCCACAAGCAAGTCCCTAGTAGCCCTGTGGTACGACGGACTTGCATATATTTTTTAAGTGCATGGGTTAATAGCCAGCACTTTATATTATAAACAACGAATAGTTACCTTATTTTGTATAAAAAATCTTTATATAAACTTTTAAAAATTCATTTTTAAAATGTAATAGTGTTAAAAACTAATATTAATAACATTAGTTTTTAGTTTTACATAAGTTTTACAATTAGTTTACATAATATTATTATAAAAATTTTTTTTTTTTAAACATTCATTTTATTTTACTTTTTTTTTAATTTTTAGATCTTTAAATGGTTAGGTATAGAAAAAAAAAAAAAAACAGACAGAGTTGCTATATCATGTGATACAATGAAATCAGCTGTTAAAGCAGTTTTAGAGGGCAGACCAGTGAATGTTGTAGCTCGCAAGTTTAGCATAAATCGAATTACCTTAAAAAGATATTGTAATAAAAAGAAGCTCAACCCAAATGAATCTTTTAAACCTAATTACAACAATAAACAAGTTTTTACTGCAGAAGATGAAAAAAGTTTGTCAAGTTATTTACTACTTGCATCAAAAATGAACTATGGACTTTCAACTAAGTCAACACGGTTATTGGCATACGAATTTGCTGTAAAAAATAATAAGATTTGCCTTTCATCATGGATCAAGAATAAAATTGCAGGGATTGATTGGTTGCAAGGTTTTATGAAAAGACAACCAGAGTTGTCTTTACGAACACTTGAAGCAACAAGCTTTGCTCAATCAACTGCCTTTAACCGACACACTGTTGGAGAATTTTTTCAAAATCTAAGAACAGTAAGAAATCGATATAAGTTTGATCCTTATTGCATATATAATGTTGATGAAAATGGTTTAACAACAGTGCAAAAGCCAGTAAAAGTGTTAGCAGGTAAAGGAAGTAAACAAGTAGGAAGAATCACATCTGCAGAACGAGGAACATTAGTAACTGTATGTTGTGCTTCAAATGCAATTAGAAACTCTATTCCTCCACTATTTGTTTTTCCTTAGGTCAAATTTCATGATTACATAATAAAGGAAGGATCTCCTGGATGCTTAGGATTTGCAAATCCTTCTGGTTGGATGAATTCAGACATTTTTATAGAATGGATAAAACATTTTGTGAGATATTCAAACTGGTCTCATGAATCTCTAGTTTTGTTACTTCTGGACAGCCATAAAAGTCATATTTCTGTTAGAGCTTTGGATCTTGCAATTCAACATGGAATTACAATGCTAAGTTTTCCTCCCCATTGTACCCATAACTTGCAACCATTAGGTAGGACTGTTTTTGGACCATTTAAATGGTTTTACAATGCTGCCTGTGATAATTGGATGGTCACAAATCCAAGACTTATGACCATTTATGATATTGTTTCAATAGTTCGCGAACCGTATACAAAAGCTTTCTCATCATCTAATATACAGAGAGGATTTCAAGTAGCTGGCATTGAGCCATTTAATCCAGAAATTTTTAAAGATGATGAATATTTACCATTATCAGTTACAGATCGTGCTGCTACAAATGTAGTAAACACAATTCTTGTGGAACCTGAAATGACTGTAGCACATGTTGATGGCATGGAGCCTGAAATGCCTTTAGTACATCATGAAACAAGTTTTTCGAACAAAGTGTCACCAAGCATTGCTTCATTACTCTCACCTGAAGTTTTGAAACCTTACCCGAAAGCATCTGCTATAAAAAGAAGTGTTAAAATTAGGCAATTAAAAACAAAGATTTTGACTGATACTCCAATCAGAAATGAAATTCGTTTGTCAGAAGAAAAGAAAACCCTAAAACAAATCAACCAACAAAAGAAACTCATCGCAAAAGATAAAAAAAGGGGAAAAGTTAAAAACTACTTGCTTAGGAACAAAAAACAATGTAATGTAAAAGCTGCATCACGATTTGACTTTGACAAATGGTGATAATTTAAAAAGATAATCTTGTAAACTTTAGTTCTAATAAAAGTCTTGTATGACTCTTGTATTTTCTTTGTAAACTTAAAATACTGTATTCTTATAGACTTTATAAGCTTCAAGTTTTGTAAAACTTAACACATATATATGTTAGTAGTAAATTTTTTAACTTAAAAAGAATAAATTGAGGGGGAGGGGGTATATGAAAAACGTACGTACAGGGGGGAGGGGGTGTCAAATTTCAGAATTTTTGGCGTACGTACTTTATGGACGACCCCTAACTTGTAGAACAGCAATAAACACATTTCTATATTTTTCATAAACATAAACAAATATCGCCATTTTCATTGTAGACTAAATAGAGAAAAAGTATATGCAAACCAACAAACGGTGCTATTTAATTTAGAATTTATAGTTAAAAAAATTATCGTTTTTATTTAATGAGTGCTATTCACTTTATTGAAAAAAGTTTCATATACATAGAGTATATATTTAACAGAATTTTTATCTTTGCGAACCAAATTTTGTTTTTGCTACAGGTTCTCGTTTGATGACTTTTAATCATAACGTAAGACCTCGTTGTTAATAAAAATATTGCCGTTAAATAGCTTAAATACATAATAAATTATAGGTGGTATTTATTTAGTTGCACAATAAAGCGATAAGCTGAAAAAGTGGGTATAAGTGGATTTTTTTGAATACACAATTCGCATCAATTTTGTTGTACAACTTACTAGAAAAAATATCAAATGATAAGAAAATATTTTTTTTATTTGTTTATTGTTTTTAACACCCAAACTACAGGTAAAAAAATTTTTGCAGTAGAAGATAAAAAAAGTTCGCTAAAATTTGCAAACTTTTTATTTGGGCATTCTTTTTTTCTGTTTCAAAAGTAAAAAGCTTAAAATATTAAGTTAAGGGTTAAATCAAGCCCAGGAAAAGCAGACTTTTCAAAAGTTATTAAACATTCTGTCAAAAATGCAGCTTTAGCCAGTAAAATTATTAAAAATAAAAATAGGAATTCAATAATGATAAAAGCAGAAATGGCCCTTGCATTAAAAATTAATTGTGATCTCAGTGATTCACAATAACCAATTCTTAGAAACTCTTCACTAAAACAGAATGCAGAGATATACCCTTCAGTCAAAGTAATATTTGATGCAAAATCTAAATGTTATCCAGAACTCTTGGAAATTTTAAAAACATCTGCCAAATATTATGCGGTTTTTTTTCGAATTTAATAAAATTTTAAAAATTAAACGGAGAAAGTTTTCTGTGAAAATTTCGTAATAATATGACGGTTAACCATATAATAATTTATATTTTTTAATCTACTTATTTTTAATTTGAGCTTATAGCTTTAATTCTAACTTAGTCATTAACAATGGCCATTTTATTATAGCCCAATATCATCACCCTAAGTTGATAATAACCCTCGATCTTAATTAAGTTTTTTGAAAATATAATAACTAAAGACAAAAAAAAAAAATGTATAGAATGAGTCATTGGTCTGTTGTAAAATGAATTTAAAAATTCGTATCTAACTATGCAGTGTGAACAGCCTTAAAGCTATAGCTTGCTGATTGCAAACTTTTTCTCTAGTTAAGTTAGTTTATTAAATTTATTTAAATTTAATTAATTTTAATTAAATTTAAATAAATTAAACTTTTACTTCCGAACAATGTTCGAAGAAAAATTCTACAAAACTTTCGAATTTTTTTATTTTGACAACAAAAATCGTGTAAAGAAACCAATGGCGGAAACTTTAAAATTTAAAAATAATTGTCATGAGGATAATATATATTTAGTAAATCAAAAATTAAAATAACTTTTACAATATTATAAAATACATTTAATATTTTGTTTAAAAAATATATATTAAACATATGCAACAAAAATTTTAAATATATAAAATATTAAACAAAAGATTTCCACATAACATTACTATTAACTCAATTTCTATTTTTATTCATTTTTTCTATTCATCAATTCTAGTTTTTATTTATTTATAACTATATATTTTATACTTTAATAAAAATTATTATTAAAGTTAATTAAATAAGAAATTATAATTTAAATTTTAAACATTCGTTTTAGAAGTTGTTGAAAAATTAAAAAATCTTTTTAGAATAATTTTTTAAATAATTATGTAGCAAAAATAATATATATAATAAAAAAATATATATTTAATAATAATAATAGTATATAAAATATAAAATAATTAATGATTTATATTATTATTAATAATATTTTAAAACAAATATATTAAATTGTTTTAAACAAAAGTTATTATTAAATAATATTAAACAAATTAAAATAATATCAAAAATATAAAACTAAAATATTAAAATTAATTCGTATATTATAAAACCTAATTATAAAATAATATATTAAATATTTCATTTATTATTTTATAATTATTGTTTATATTTTATTTAAGATATTAAACATACTGTGTTATAAAGTTTTTTAATTCATCGAGGTTATCAAAATATTTTCCACGGTACTTGATCGACAACCTCTTGACATTCGAACAACGAATCCATTCACAAATCTCTTCAATGAAATCGATGTCGTCGTGAAGGAAAAGATGTAATCCTTTACAAAGATTAATCCACGGAAGAAAAATTTCTTCAAAATCTTTTTTCGTTATTAAATCTTGTGAGATGTATATGAACAACTTTTCAATCTTATCTTTCGGTTTCAATCCTTCTAATTTAATTGGACAAAAAAAGCCGACAATGCGAACATTTGTTGAACATTTAATTATAAGATTTTTTTCTTCATCACTTAAAATATTTTTATAAACACTTAACTGCCATAACTTTCTTCCAGATTTAATGTAATGATTTACGAAATAATTTTCACAAGAAGTTTCGTAAGAAGTTTTTCCAACGTGAATCGAAATCTTCCACTCTTGTTCATCGACGATTAATTTTATTTCATCAGTTAATGATGATTGACTTTCATAAAAACATTCAACGAATAAATAAACGTAATAAGTTTCAAGTTGATAATTGTTTTCTTCTTTACTTTGACGATATAATTTAAGTAGACGATCTAAAGAAAAAATAAATATAAAATAACAATTAAATAAAAATTAAAATAATAATCGAAATTATAATATCATATACATTATAATATTCTACATATTAATACATAAATCAATATCAATTTATAATTATAATGATATTTTATCATTCATATATTTAAATATTAATTTTTTAAATATAATTTTTATCACATTTTTAAAACAAAATAAATTTATTTTAATATAAATATAAATGAGTAAAATAATATATAACATATTAATTTAAATAAATAAAAATACATTCCAAACAAACGTAGATATTGATTTAAATTCACGAAAACAACTTCGTTCACTTGTTTTAATAACAAATGAAGAAATTGTACTTTATTCAATTAGATTTTAAAGTTTGTGAATCAACTTAGTAAAAATAAGTCAAATTTAAAAATATAAAATCGAAAATCTCATTCGACTATCTTTTTAAAATAAGTTATGTGAATAAAAACTCAAAGAGTGAGAGTTTAAATATTCGATTTCAACGTTGATTTGAAATGCAAAAAAAAAAATCATCTCACTATTTATATGTTTTATGATATAAAATATAATCTATAATTTGTATATTTTATATTATAAAATATATTATGTGATGAAATCTCCGTTTAATTAGAGTGAACAAAAATACCAAGAATTTTACAAGACAAATTTTTAAAAAAAGTATACTAAATAGCAGAATGAAAGCTAATTAACAAATATCAATTAACAAATTTTTAAATCAATTTAATGTTAAAAAATAACAAAAACAAACAACGAATCTCTTAATTTCTAACTAAAAAAAATGTTTTTTTGTTCATAATAATAATTTGAAAACTTTTTGTTTTAGAAATACTTAAAAAAATAAATAATAGAAGTCGTTAAAATCTTTATTTCACAGAATCATTTTATAAATATATTTTTTTACGTCATATATTTGATATTTTACTGTACTTTTAAGTTAAAGTAACAGACGCTCTTAATGTATCAAACGTTTTGTTAATTCTTATATCTTTAAAAATAATTTTATATATAAAAAAATAATAATACGCTTGATATCTATACAAAAAATTGTTTTGTACCAATTTGAATTAAGTTTCAAAATACGATTTCTTAAATAATTAACTAATTATGAAAATTAAACATTAAAGTTTTCAATTCGCGCTTTCTTAACCCTTCAAATTAAGTAAAATGATACCTTTAGCTGAGTTCATTGAAAATATCAAAGAGAGGTTGATTTTTAGCAACAAAAAAGACAAATGCCACTTCAAAATCTTTGTTTTAATTTACTTTCTAGATTTTAGAAAATAATTATTGTATTTTCAACAGACTTCATTTTTATTTTGTGAATTTGGAAATCTAAGTTTTACTTCATCTAAATAATAGTGACATTCTAGAATCTAGAATGTCACTGCATTATTTTTTTATTATGTATTTTTATAATATAATTTACTTAATAAAAAAATAATCATAAGCTTGTTATCAAAAACTCCATATAATCGTTGTAAGTTATTGTTTTGCAACAACTCAAATTTAGTTTCAAGAAATAAATTTTTAAATAAAAACAAATAATAAATTTATATTGAAGTATACTTACGACTTTTTTAAGCTTAAGAAGTTTTGTTACCAGTGTTAATTAAAAACAATCGTAACAAAATGAGATTTTATATATTTAAAAACTCGATCATCGAACACAAAAAATCCTTTGAAAAATTCGAAGAAAACAAATAAAATTCGAAACAACCGTATTGCTAATAGATATCGCAGTTTATTGTAACTAACGCAACCGTTAAAAAAAAATTTTTTTGTGACTTTTCATGATAAATTCTTTGATAGCATTTTTATAAAAGGACTATAAATCAAATTCAAAGCTTGATAAAATGTTCATTAATAATTTTGACATTTTCATTGGATAACTTAAAATAATAATTTTTTAAATTAAAAAAAAAAATTATTAAAAAAAGTGAAAAATAAAAAGTTTTAATTAAAAAAAAAGTAAAAAAAAAAAAAAAAGTAACTCAAAAAACATTTTGATAATAAAAGTTTAAAAATAAGTGTATAAACAAGAATACAAGATTTTGATAAAAGAAAAAAACAAAAACAAAAAACAAGAAAAAAAAACCGAAACAAATAAAAACAAAGTTAAAAGAAAAAAGTCTTTGAATATGGATAATAATTGAAAAGAAATAAAATTTTTTCTACCACCAATATTTAATAGAAAGAAATTAAAGAGAACAATTTTAATTAATTTTGTACATTGTTTATATGTTGTGTATTTATGAATATATAAAATGTTGAATGTATTTATTTCTTTGCATTTTTCTCTGTGAATTTAGTTGCTGTTGTTTTTTTTCATTTCTCTTAGCCTTACTCCTTTATATTTTTGTTCTGATTCCAACTTTTCAAATATTGTTCCTATTACTTCTTTTTTTACTACCTGTATTAATGTAGTTTACTTTATTATTCCCTTGTTTTAATATTTTTTTATTTTATTTGTGAATTTTATTAAGGTGTCACTCCATTGATTAGTTTTTAACTATATGAGTGACACCATACCTAACTTTTTAAATTATAATTTTGATTTTATGATTTTAAGATTTTTTCTTCAATAAAATAATTAAAAAACAATAAAAAGATTCATTGACGTCTTTGATGTAATTTAAAAGTCACTATAAGATAGATGTACCAGAATTCCGGCCTGATATTTTTTCTTTTAGATCTACTTGCTTCTGGCTGTAATTAAACTTTTTTTTTACGACATGTCACACAGGCTGTGTAAATAAATTATTATCCTACAAAGCAATTGATCTGGAAAAAATATATTCGGCCGGAATTCGGTATATCCTAACTATAAGTTAAAATTTTATAATAACAGAAAAAATTTGTAAATTATTATAAGTTACTTTATTAATACCTATTAACAAACAAATAGTGCTAAAAAATAACTCGCATATAACAAATATCAAAAAAAATATTTATTTAAATTAAATAAACGTAACGACAAGACAAATGAAACGATTATAAAACACTGTTTTAATTGTTGCTTTTCTGATATTCAGAATTTTTATCTGTAATTGGGTGTTTAGTGAACATTACGGACGTATAAAAAAAGACAAATACATAGAATAAATACAATTAATATAAAATTAGTGTGTCAAAAAATAACTTTGAATTAATTAATGTATTAATTAATGTAAGTTGATCATTATTAATACGTTATTTATTAGTCTCTAAGCTCCACCTTTTATTACTTTGAAGAGGTGTTACATAGGTGTTAAAAAGTAATTTTAGTTAGGTGTTAAAAAACAAATAATGTTTAGTGAAAACTTGAATTTTTTAATCTTCAAGTTCTTTGGTTTCAGTTGTTAAAATGTTTCACAGTTTTGCAACAATTGACTTTTAATACAAAAACAAATCTCTAGCGTACAAAAAAAAAATACACAAAACGATCGCGGCTTTCAAAAAAAAACAAACAAACCAACAACTTAATTAAACAAAACATTTTTACAGCTGTTGCATGACATTTCTACATTAATCGAAACAAAGTTAGTGCATTATAATAATATTTAAATAAAATAAAATCGCCATTCCCCATGACATTTGTGAGATTTTACAAATAAGTAAATGCCCATTACTAGGTTAAAAAAATCAGGCAAAACACATGAAATAAATAAAGTTTTATAGAGAATATTTTGTATATTTAAATGAATAAAATATTTTTTTTATGAATTAATTTTAAATAATAAATTTTATCAAGTAACATAAATATTTAACTCTTTTTACATCGGCAAAAATTCCCCATAAAAATTTAAATCAAAATTTTTTTAATTTGAATTAAATTTTTTTTTTTTTGTTATTTATATATTATTATCGATTTTGCAACCAACATATAACATAGTAACCATATAAAAACACAAAACTGTAAACTAAAAGAGTCAATCCATAGATAGTTTTATTCAGTATAAAATTATCTAATGGACTTAAAATGAAGTTACAATATTAAACTAATATAATCAGTAATCATGTGTGGAGAGTTTGTGTGAGTTGTTGTTGAATTAAGTAATAAACATCTCCTCAGAGTCGCGTCTATTATTACTGGCGTTTCATCATTTCAGTGTCATTGCCACTTATGCTTTACCCTGCGACTTACGCCTATTCCATACTGCAGTAAAAAAGGACTCACTACAAATAGCCAAAACCCAACCAACCCCAAATTTGTAAAGCACCAATATTTTTTTGATGATATGATATAAAAAGTGTAGATTTACTGAACAAACAAAAATAAAAATAAATAAATAAAAAACTTACCATACCACAAAAAGAAAATATGAAAACAAAATATATTAAAATTCTAATAGAAACATAAAAAATTTTTTTCATAAACTTATTTTAAGAAATAAAACCAAATAGGTATTGTTATCAGAAAGTAGTATACCTCATTAGAAAAATTTTTTTTAATCAACAAAACAACAATAGCCTTAAATAAATTCTAACGCTGTCATAGATACCTCATTCGAAATATGACAACCAATCAAAAGTGTAGGAAAATGAGCAGCCCGCGAAACCCATAATCATAACAATAATTGAAAAATATATGATAGCGAAAAAGAACTTTGCACAAAAACTATAAAAATGTAAGCGGCATATATGTAAACATTTAATGAAGGATATAAAAATATTCTCTGAATAATAATAAAGATGAAAAATGTGCATGTGAAAATTAAAACAAAGCTGAGCAATGAATGCAACAAACAGTAATAAAATGAAAATCAGGAGATAAATAATATATCAACAAACACTGCAAAAAGACTAACTAAATATTGCAATAAAACCAGATAATTTTAAGCCAAATGAGTGGTTAAAAAACTAGCCGTGGATAATATAACAACGATATAGGTCGTAATGTAAAAATGATGTACAAAGCAAGAAAAAAATTATTAAAAAGTGAAGTCTTCTCTACAGTCCGAACTAAAAGAAACTTTGAGTTCTATTGCTCATTGCA